ATTTGGTCAGAAATTTTATGGATGCCAGGGCAAAACCAGTTGTCTTTTAGTTCCTTAACTATCCCCCGTTTGCACATATGTCTCATTTGGTGGGAGATAAGTGCAAGCCAAAAAGTCAAAAGAAAAGGAGCTACTGGAAGTCCATTTGGTCTAATGTATAATCTATTTAATAATTGTTTGGCACCCTTTTTTATCTAATTGTCTTTTTTAGATTGTGGGGCATTTGCCTGATAGTTAATAACATCAGTGAGGGATGAAGGCAGGTTCAGTTTTCAGTGATGTTAAATGAAAATGATGGAAAAAATCAAAAACGTTAGTTTGGACATCTGTAGCCAGATATTTTAGGAGACTAGAAGAAATTAGGATCTAGTCTAGTAAATAGATATAAAACAAAAACCTCAAAAGACAATTAACAAAACTAGGATCTAATATCTGCAAATGTATACTATGGTTTTTACTGAAATATAATTTTTTTTAAATCACTCTTATTTTTTTATCAAAGATAGCTAAATTAAAACTAACTAGTTTGCAAAATAAGTCTAGTTTTAATAGAGTTGGCCTAGTTATTTACATAAGTACAGCAAGAATAGCAATTGATCACATAGGCTCTTGTAAATCTGCTTTGCTGGAACTTTTTATAAGGAATCTCACATTGAACTTTAAAGTCTTCTCAAGGCCAGGAAAGCCAAGCCAAGGATTTTGTCATCAGACCTCGCCTGTAATACCTACAGATTTGGGTGAATTTTTTTCTTTTGAGGTTCCCCCAAAATATTTCGAGGTTTTTTGTACCTGCTAGATAAGTGACATTTTTCACTTATCTTGGTAAGTGTTGCTTGGAACATAAGGTACCAGGCCAATATTTCTACGTGGCTTTATTTTATAAAGTCTAATCTTTATTTCTCAAAAGCTGTATGGTTATATCGCAAATATGATGTTTTAGTCACAACTTTGGTAATATAACCAGCGTTTTTAATTGTGTCTTGTTATAAGGAGAACAGATTCTTATTGAACTTATGCAAATAACTATATTGCCATGAAAACAACAATACTCACTTACTAAGAGTTTTTAAATCTTGGAGGGATCAGGTAGAGAGAAAAAGATAAATATTTCAATTTTACTTACAAAAGTATCATTTACCAAATTGCTATAAGTCATAGCTAGCTCAGGAGAAAAGAGAAAAAGTTTTCTTTAAATCTGAAAAAATAAAACATTAAAAATTTAGCAATA